CATCTCCGCGATCACCAGGTGGTGGCCAGTAGCAAGAGCTTCTCCCCGGCGGCTTCGCAATGGCGCGATTTGCCGTCGAACCGAAGCTTCGCAGAGAACCAGGTCAAATATGTTATATTTATCTTCGAATTGCGACGTCTGCTGGCAGAGCGCGCCGGCAACTTGCATATCCACGCTGGAGCAGAATTCAATCGTCAATTCCCAACTGGGCTGTTCGACTTCGCGCTGCGCTCGCCGCCCCCACCCAAACTCCCCCACGATGGCATCTCTCCCCCTGGCTGCCCCCCCCCCCCCCCATTCTTGCATTGAAGTCGGCAATGATCAGCTCGCCCGCGTCGGAGTTGCAAGATTGGCGCGCGGAGTCCAGCATCGCGTTGAAACGTCGACTTCCGGGGGGCGGCTTGAGGTTGCGCGGGGCGAGCCCGGAAATGATTGCCATCGCCCCCATGCTCGCATTCTATCATCTCCGACCAGTCAAGTCTATCGGAGATTCGCTTGTATGATTGAATTTATCTTCGACGTGCAGGCGCAAGGACAAACCCAGACCCCCGTCCAAGTTGGCCCTTGCGCATCTTCGCCGGAGAGGGTAATTCCGCGCTCATTCACGTCGTGGATGTCTGCCTTTGATCGGAGCGTCTCCTGCGCAGCTAAAGCGTCAATGCCGCATGTACCCACGCGTGGAATCATCTCCTCGATCTTCGCCTCGACGAGGCCTCGAACGCCCCATGGCGCCACTGCGCTGGGAACCGAAGCGGGGTGCGAAGGGGGCGGGGCGGGCGGGGGCGGGGGCGAGGGAAGGGCGGCGGGGGCGGGCGGTAAAGCTTTGGACGCCTGGCGGCACATTTGCCTACAGCGGCCGAAGATGCGGTATAACTCGTAAGTAAAGATGCGGAAGGCCCGGCACCAGGCCCGGGCATTGCCTCGTTTTGAGCGTCTGGCAGTCCCCGTGGTTGATCGGCATCTTTGTCCGAATCGCTATCCGCGTGGATCTCCGCGCGCCCCAAACGTAAATTTGAAAATCTACGCCTTTGACTCTGAGAAGTATTAGAGGACGCTTCGCATAAAGAAAGAAAATCTGCTCGGCCCCTGCGATGGTCGCGAAAAAACTTCGGCGGGTAGGGTAGCCCAGCGCCTGCCCGACTTCCCATGTTCCATTGCTTCCTTTCGTTGCAACTTTAGCGCCTCCACTCATCCCCGTCGATGCCCTCTGCAAAATAGTCCCGGATGTCTGCGTAACTCCTCAAACTGTGGGTCATTTTGCGGCTCGTTCCATCCTGCCCACTCCTTCTCCCGAATGCGCTCGTTCGCGTTGCCATCGGCGTTCGCTGCCAGAGCTAGATGCCCGCCCACATGTACTTGATATGGGGCGTTACCTGAGACATGTATCGTATATGTGCGTCGCACGTCTTGCTCCAGGATGCATGTTAAACCACAACAAAATGTGCGAGCTGCCCGTTCTCCAGGTTCCCCGTATCGCCATGGATCCACGTTGACGTTTTGCGCTACGTAGCTGTGCAACCCCCGTGCCCCGTCAAGCATCGACGCAAACTCCGCGAATATGATGTTATTGAGTTCGTTTTTTTTTTTTTTTTTTTTTTTTTTTTTTTTTGTTTGCCTACCTGTTTGTAGAAACCGGCCGGGATAACTTGTTGAGTTCGTCCTTATATCTACGGACGCGGCCTCGCGCGAATCGAAATTGTCCAGGTTACGAATTACTGCCGTGACTGCGCGCTCCCCGTGGTAGTGGTATTCGTCCACCGTCTGTTGCGAGAAATTTGATGTTGACCTCGGCGTAGTATGTCCCATATGTTTGGTCATAGTGCCAATGTGTTGTATCACTTGTTCTTTCAGAACGCGTTCCAAGCTTGTCATGCATATTTGAATAAATGTTCAAAATCATTTTCCGTATCTTCAACATTCGATTCCAAATTTGTGCTTCATATGCTCACATCTTTGGCTGGTTCCTTCAACGTTTTCAATGTGAGTCCGTCACTACGAACTACATGCATAGTAGGGGCAACATTTTGTTTGAATGTATTCCAAATTGGTTTCCTGGTCACGGGCTCGTTGCCCTCTTCATCATCATCGAGGTCGTCCTCGCCCGGTAGTTCTGCGGGTGCATCGGGTTCTGCACTGCTTGCGGGTCTTCTGGAGAATTGCCACTGACGTGGTCCCACTCCAGCGCCTTCTGGGATAAATGCGCCAGGCGGTGCGTCGTCCATGCCATCCAACCCCTGAAAAGGATTACGTTGGCGAGATTCCACTCGGCGTCCTCGCACTCCTTCGGGCGTCCGGACACGGGTCTTGAGAAATTCCCGGACACGGTTCTTAGAGAAAGTCCCGGACACGGGTCTGGAGAGAGTCCCCGACACGGGTCTTGAGCCAATTCGGCCTCCGGCACAGCACAGCTGTGCGCAAACAAAGCCTGGGACCAAGCTGGACTGGGACCAAAATGGACTGCCTTGCGGCATGCTTTACCAGCGCCGCAACGGACACCCCCGGTGACAGTTTGAGGAAACGACAGACGAAGACGACGACGGCGACAGGGTGGGAGGAGGAGTAAGAGGAAGAAATGAAACAGTATATACTGAAGGGGCCCCAGGACACACAACTAAATACACACAAATGAAACTATCTCCATATTTTCCCATATTTTCTGGGCTTCTGTCTTCCCCCCCACTGCCCATATTGTCCCACATTTTTTCTGAGGAATCGAGTATGAATGGTGTTTGTGTGTTTTTTACCCTCCTGATATACACATGAGCATAGGGAGGTCGGCGCGAACTTCCAGGGTCCCCTCGCTGGCGCGCGGAGCGCGCCCCTGGCGGGGACCTGGAAGCGCCGCCGGGGAGGCCAAGCGCCGACCCGAGAAATTCACACGGGCCTACGAAAAAGCGTCTGCTTTTGGGCCGATGCGTTCCTTCTCGAGACAAGGGGGGGGGAAGGGGGAACTAGACGCCTCCTAGATTCTAGGTCCTGGATGGGGTCCGAATGCACGGGGGCGCAGGACCTCGCCGCATCCCCGATACATCGGCGATGCATCTGAGATGCGTCGGCGCTGCACTGGCGACGTCGGCGATGCATCGACAACGCCGGCATGGAGAAAATCGGGCTCCGCATCAAGCCGTATCGGCGATACATCGGCGATGCATCGACGATGCATCGGCGATGCAGCGCAATCCTCCGACCCCATCTACTTCGACCCCCTTTAGGAGGCCAAGAGTTTTTAAGCCGATCTTCCTTCCTCGAGACAAAGGGGGGAGGAGTGGGAGCATGTCGACCCCTATCCCAGGCTTCGTGGGGTGTCCGAATGGACCAGAAATTTGCAGCCCGATGGGGGCGTGTCCATCCTCGATCGGGGTGCGCCCGAATAGCCCCCTTGGGGTGTATCCCAGCGTTTTCCCATTTTTCTGAGCGGCCAAACTTTTCGGGCGAAACCCTGGGATTGGGGGAGAAACATCGCCCGCGAAGGGAGAAGTGGGACAAAAGGCGCGGGGAGAGGGGAAGCGACGACGCCGGCGACGGGGGCCGAGTACACCCGACGAGGGTGGCAGGCGGACAGCCCCCCCCCCCCGCGCCCGCCCGTCCGCCGGCGGGGCCCGGGCGGACACAGCATCCCCTCCACCTCCCCCTCCTCCTCCTCCTCCTCCTCCACCTCCTTTTCCTCTTTTCCTCCTCCTCTTCCTCCTCCTCCTCCTCTCCTCCTCCTCCCCCTCCTATCCCTCCTGTCCCTCCCCCTCCTCCTCCTCCCCTCCTCCTCCTCCCCTACGGTGGGCCCGACGCTGCAGAGCGACGGCGGAGGCGTCGGCACACCATGGGGGCCACGGCTGGAGGGCAGGATAACCACCCTCGACCGAACCATCCCTGCGAGCGAAACCCTCTGCCTTCGGCGAACGCTATCTCATCGACTCTCAGAGTCGATCATCGCCGCCCAAGAGAAGGACGGGGGACTCGTCCGAGCTATCTGGGAAGGCCTCCTCCTCGTCACTGCCCCCCATCGCTCGCCGCCGAATAATGACCACCCTCGAATGAACCGTCCCTGCGACCGAAGCCCCATTGCCTTTCGTGAACGCGTTTTGGCGAGGGCAGGGCTGGACCTAAAAGGTGTTTGGGTGATTTTGTGGGCCGTTTTTGTTTCGATTTCGTTCTGCGGCAAAAAAAAAAACGACCTGAAAAAAAGAAAATCAAAAACAAAACGGAAACGAAGAACACCGTTTAGGTTCAGCCCTGGGGGAGGGATCGAACCGGGCAGAGCTGCGCAGCAGACGCCCGGGGCGGGAGTTCTCCTTCCTCGATGTCGACGGCAGGCGCAGGCGCCCACGGAGCGGCTCCCCCCCACTGCACCGTGCCCCGGACCCGAGGGCAACAGTGCCCCTCTTTGCCCGCACACTCCAGTGTCCCAGGCTGCGGGTGCAGCGCAGCGCGGAATCCCCGCGGCGCGCGCTGGTCGCCCCGAAGGGGTCCCAACAACTCACGCGGGTCGTCCGATGCGCGGAGCAAAGCGAAGTAGCTGGCTGGCTGGCTGAGAGCGCGGCTGTCCAGGCGGAAACAGAAACGATCGGCGAATCAATCTCTGGGGCGAACGGAAAGGGGGGGGCAACGATGGGAGTGAATCAAGTCAAGCAGCATGCAGCCGCTCTTTCCGACGCCAGTGTATCGAAGAGAGCGCCAGGCGGTGGGACTGAACCCAGCTGCATGCAGCAGGTGTCGTACCCCCGCCTTGCCCGATCTCCACCCCCTCTCGTCCGACCATATCAACCACCTGGGCGCAACGACATAACCAATCACCAGGCACATGTGGCCGTGATAGACAAGGGCCCGGAAGGAGACGGGCCATGGCCCCTGGTGCTTTCCCCCGGGCCATCTGTTCATCCCAGGCCACTTTTGCGCGGTCTTGGAGCCCTGGGATGAGAAGACCTCGAGATACCGAAACTGGCGTAAAACATTCAGGCCCGCGTCATTCATGCTGACCAAGGGGAGACACGACGGCCGGTGAGGTCCTCGGCCAGCAGTGATGCGAAAACTTGCTCGGCTCGGCGTCTGTACAAGTCGATGACCTCCTCGTCCGCGTCCACTGCAGGTCCAGCATGTTGCCTCAGGTCAGGCACCAAGCTTCATGCTCCAACCGACAGCGGCGGAGTAAAGCGCTAAACTGGCCCTGCCCCGACGCGGTCGCCCTGGATGAAGACCCAGACATCCCACGTCACAGTGTTCTGATCGTGACGTTGGTCCCAAGACCTCTCGACCCCTTCCCAGGGACCAAGTTTGTTCTTGGATCGTTTGCTCGACGGCCTCAAGCCATGAGTGGGCCCCAAGTTGGTTGGAGGAACACTGGCTCGCTCGCATCTGCTCCACTCCGTTCCCCTCACACCTTCCCGCCCTTTCCTCCCTACCCATCCGCTTCCTTCCCCTTCCGCCTCCCCGACCCTCCTGGGGAAGGAGTAAGGGAGGGACCCGCTGAGGGAGAAGACATTGACTTGAAATCGGCGATACATCGCCGACAGATCGACAATCGTGAGGCTCTCAACTGCAAAACCGCATGTTCCTGGAATGGGTGGGCCATCGGGCCCCTCCTTGGCGAGGGATGGGCGTCCCTGCTGAGCCTCGCCCCCTGGCCCCCGGCGCCCGCTGTCCCTGACCTCCCCTCCCCTCCCCACTTCTCCTCTCCAGGTAGAGGAGGAGGGGGGAAGAGGAGGAGGCATGCCAGAGGAGGAGAAGGGGGAGGGGGAGGGGGAGGGGGAGGGGGAGGAGGAGGAGGAGGAGGAGGAGGAGGAGGAGAAGGAGGAGGGGGAAGAGGAGGATCTCCTCGTCGCCCGCGTGTCCGCCCCCGAGTTACCCCTGGCTACCCCCTCGTACGAGGGGGTAGGGGGAGGGGGGAAGGCAGCTTAGGAGGAGGCTGCTTCTTAGGCGCGGGAAGCAGCAACACAACTCTCATGTTAAGACTATTCGCTCTTCTGCGCGCGCGTGTCAATCAACATGCGTTCGGGGGCCGGGGGCCCCATTTGAGGCTCACGCACGACCTCCCCTGCTAAAAAGCCGGGTGCGATCCCCGGGAGAGCCACTGCAATTGAACACTACAATGTGAACTGCGGGGGGGGATCAACAATAATCATCCTCAACGAGTAAAAGTCAACAGCAACAACACTCATCTTAAGATTGTTCGCTCTCATCTGCTCGCATGCCATTCAACACGTATGAAATCCCAAACCCTGGATACCCGCCCCCCTTCGTCTTCGATCGCGCCCCTTTCAAGGGGATGTCTGACTTACCTGCCACGTAGAATTTGCACAGCCTTCAACGGAAGGGGGCCACTGAAGGCTGCAGCGGGGCCAGGAAGGGCAACGACAAGGCCACGAAGAGCTACATCGGGGCCACGGAGGTCAGCGAGGCGGCTACGAAAGGCGACCGCAGGGCCACGAACGGCATCGAGGGGCTCAAATAACGCGGCCACGAAAGGCATCGACGAGGCCACGACTTCTGCCGGGGCCTTCAAATCCGACTGCGGTATCGCGAGGAGCAGCGAGGGGCATCGGAACGGGCGAAAAGCAGCGAGGGGGGGCTGCGGGCCTTACCGGGCGGGTGGAGCGGGCGGGTCGCGACTGTGTGAGTCCTGCAAACTTCGCCAGGAAGTCTCGGGCGAGAGCGCCATTCAGCCACAAGGAAGACCAACAAAAAGGAAAGCGCAATTCCCGAATGGCGAGAGCGCGGCGCCTTCGAACATCGCAAGGACATCTCAAGCGAGAGCGCGATTCTCGCGTAAACTGCAAGGAAGTTTCAAGCGGAAGCGGGGAGACTCAATACATTGCGAGGGGGATATCAGGCGGGAGCCGTGATTGTTGCAGTTCGGGTGGCCAGGGGCCCAAATTTGAAGCTTACGACCTAACTCCCCTGCTACACAAACAGGGTGCGAGCCCCGGGAGGGCCACCAAAACTGAAAAATATAATGCGCGCTGGAGGGGGGATCAAAAATAATTGTTCTTCAATGGTCAGAGTTCAGCCACGACAGCAACAACAACAGCAACAACAATAACAGCAATACCACCACCACCACGACCAACAACAACACAAAACAACAGCAACAACAACAACAACAACATCAGCAACATCAACAACAACAGCAACAACAGCAACAACAACACCAACAGCAACAACAACAGCAGCAGCAGCAACAACAACAGCAGCAGCAACAACAACAACAACGACAACAACAACACCGACAGCCGCACTCATGTTCAGACTGTTCGCTCTTATCTGCTCGAATGTCCGTTAACGCGCATGCTCCAACTCCTCGATAACCGCCCTCTTCGTCTCCGGGCAGCAACAACAACAGCAACAACCACAACAACCACAATAACAGCAACAACAATAACAACAACAACAACAACAATTACTAGCACGTGGGGACACTCCGTTCTCACCAGTGCCAGGGTTTTCATAGGAGGCGGGCAATACCCCCACTTTGTGGGGGGGCCGGTTCAAGCTCTACCAAATTTCCAAACG